CTACTCATATTTGAATATTATTGTTAATTACACCTCTAGTCCTACATTTTTTTTTTTTTTTTTGGGAACCTTAGTATTCTATTGGGTGAACAGAAGAGGTGTAATACAAGTGTAAGAATTCCAAGGAGGCAAAGATATAATGAAATGATGGTACTGTAATAAAACAACAAAGAGTACACATAAAAATTAACAAATTCTCCCTTCATGAAGCTAAACAATCACCAAACAAACGTTGAGCTCCGTTACAAGTTGCACTTAGCTTATTAGTCCAGCATGGTTTAGCACTCATATAGAAATTCTTTCGTAGTGTTAACTGTTTGGAATCAAAAAATATATCAATCTATGAATATCAGATGATTGCTATTATTAGGAAGATCAAAGTGTGTTGAAGTGCGTAAGACTATCTCTAATAGAAATCCAAACCCTTACTCAAATTTTAATAACAATAAGGGTAAAAAATTTGATTAGGTATAAACCTTTCTAATAAAGAAACTCAAATTTAAAAGAAGACAAATTTAAATTTAAATGAAGACAAACTAAAATTTAAAAAATGATAAAATATAACCATTAAATCTTCAAACGAGAATGAAATCTAACAATTGGTGATTTAAGTAAAATTTTGAGTTTCATTCAATTTGAGTTTGGGTATAGCATTGGAGAAGATTTTTAAAGATTTTTTTACCTAAATTTAAATTTAGATTTAGAAAAAAGTAAGAGTCAGAGATGCTCAAGGACAAAATATGATGAGATAATTACTTTATATTAGGCCAATTGTGGTATCAAATTGTTTGTCACAAACAAACAATATTATGATCTACTACTATGCAATTAAGTTAAATATAATTTACAAACTCTCTAAACATTAGTTAACTTTCCTTGACATATATGTTTTTTTTTCTTGCTATTTTGGTGGTAAAATGTGGTTGTGCTAGTTCTTTGACTAATTAAAGTCATTACAAAAGTAAGTTCTTGAAATATTCCTTGTTTTGGGTGGCGAGGGGTTTAATAGGACTATGGAAACAATTTTCTTCTTTTAACCTTTGAACCCGACCTTTTTCTTACTACACTTTAATTTCAATCCAATTGTATTTTGCTCAATTCACTAAAGGTTCATCACTCAATACCTTAATTTAGAGCTAACCCTTGATGCCAGGGTTTCGCAGTAAGTGGTAAGCCTCATGTTCCAGTCATCACAGATCATCACCTCCTGTTGAACAACCTATTCAACTCAGAATAGATGCACGCGTGCATAAACAGAGTTAGTTACTCGATGATGTGATGTATCTTTATGTATTCAAGTGTGTATAAGGAAGGTCACACTAACTGTAATGTATTGAGAAAATTATTCAATAAGAGAATTCTCTCTCTCTCTCTCTCTCTCTCTGATGTTCTATCATGGTATCAAGGCCATCTCAAGAGACTAACATCTTATCAATGGCAACTCAATCTACCACTTCTATATTCAAAATATCAACGAAATCAAAGATAAGTTTGCAGCAGCATCTGTCAGTATTCATGATGGAGATATACTGATTTACACTTTGAATCGCCCCCCTACAGAGTACAATGCATTCAAGACCTCCATCGGAGCCAGATCTGAACCAGTGACTTTGGAAGAACTTCATGTTCTTCTTTAAGGGAGAAGAATCATCACTTGCTTCTGGTATTATTTAGAATAAATATATTCCTACTCCTATATGACAGCTTCCACTATATCAGCCAATACTATAACAGTTAGAAACTTTGGATCTAATCAGAGAGGACGAGGATGAGGTTATGACTCATATGGCAAAAATCGAGGTAAGCAAGCCAACATAGGAGGAGGAAGGTTTAATTCATATCCTAATTACAATTCTGAAGCTATCTTTAGCAATCCAGGATAATAGATGAATACACAATTCTCAAATCAAGCAAATCAATTCAATACATCCCAAGCTATCATAGTTTGAATTTTGCCTATCAAGGCAAACAAGTATCAACAATGGCTACCTCACTAAACAACTCTCAAAATAGCTCTAATTTATGGATTACTGATTCTGGAGCTTCTACTCATATCATGCCTGATCTAGCAAATCTGTCACTTTGAAATAACTACACTGGACAGGACATAGTCTCTATAGGTAATGGGACTAATCTTTCAATCACACACACTGGTCAGACCTCACTCAAACAGCATCACACAAAACCCAATTGAAAAACATTATGTGTCTTCTATTGCCTCAAACCTACTCGCAGTACATTAGTTTTGTTTAGATAATCATTGTCTATTCATCTTTGATTCTAACCACTTCTATATTCAGGACAAGTTCTCAGGGAAGATCTTGTACCATAGGCAACTGTGAGAATTGAATCGACCCTATAAAGACACTCCAAACACCTTCAAATGATGTGGATAATCTAGGACAGAAGGTTTATCAAGTCCTATGGCATGATAGAATAGGGCACCCTTCCAATAATTCTTTCCCAAATGTTATCTCAATTGCAGCTTCCTAAAAACGTAAGTAAGAGTGCACCTTGTGTTTGTACACACCGCTTGCATGGTAAAATGCCTCAATTTGTTTTCCTATTTCCCACATTGTTACATATAATCCTTTAGATTTGCTACATACAGATGTCTGGGGTCTTTCCCCAGAACCTTCAATTCATGGTTTCAAGTATTATATCTCATTTGTAGATTATCACTCCAGGTGTATATATATAATAAAATAAAGTTAAGTTTGAATTTTGGAGACAATGAAAGGTCCATATCGTTTTGAGACAAAACATAAACATATTCAACAGATAACAAAATCCTAATATAAAAGACGGTTCAGATCATCTTATAAATACTGATCTGACATTCTGCAATGAGTATAGAATTTTGTTTTTCCACCTAACAATTTTTTCTGACTCACGCCTCTATCTCTCCTCTGAAATCTCTGAAATCTTTTACAATCTCAATTCTTCCTCTCTCTTCCAATCTCTCACGCCTCTATCTCTACCTTCCAAACTCATCCCCATGGAATTCATCTCAATCTCACTTTTGCCTCTCTCTCCCCTTTCAAAACATACCTCAAAGCCAAAAATCTCCGGCTGCCCCATATTTGTCCCTCTCTCTCTCTGTATCAAGCCCTAATCTACCGCCCCATATTCTCTCATACTTTCTCCCATTCAGTCAGCTTAAATTAAATCCCCCTCTCTCTCGAAGTCTCTCCCTCTACCAGTAGATGTGGCGACATCAAAGCTCCCAACATATGCCTTTACCTAGGCATTACAAGTAAAGAGAGAAAGATTTACAGAGATTGGTCCTCTCACCTATTCTTTCTCTTCAATTTTCAAGGTATTCGATCGACGGTTTTGCTCTCCAATCTCTCTTTTCGGCTCTTCTATTTCCATGTAAATCATGTTCTCTCTCTCTCTCTCTCAACAATTGCTATTCATCTCTATATATGTATACACATCTCTAATATATATCTTGAACTTTAGGTATCACTTGAATCCTTGGAAGTAAACCAATAGTCACCAGAATTAGACCTTCAACTATATTATTTGCTACATTGATCTCTGCTTCCATCGATCATTCATTTGTCCAAAGCCAATCCAAGAGAAAGCATCGACAAATCACTGGTGATAGGTAATCTTTGTGCATCCCCTCCATTTCTCATCTCTCTTTGTGTCTCCCCCTTTCTCCATCAAGCAAATCACACACACAAAAACACCACAACACTACAATCAGCCTCCCCACCTTCCACCTGTTTGAGAAACTGACTTAAGGGAATTGATTGAACATTGTAGTGGAATATTATTTGAACCATGTGAAAATGAATATGGCTATGGAATCCTTTTGTTTCTTTTTTCACTTTACATTCTCAATGTTTATGTGTATGATTCCAAAAAGTTGTGTTTCTTATTAAAAAAAAATGTGCATCATTTTGAGATGTTCCGTAACAAACATTATGCGGTAACAAGCCTTTGAATTCTGATTTTTTTTTTTATGTGCAAACCGATTAAAGGTTTCATTATGGTGTGGTATTCCGCTCTGCATTAAACATCAATTGAATTGAAGGCAGTGTTGTTTCTTTCTATTACGATGTGTTCATTCCTAATTTTTTTAATGTTACAGTTTCTTAAAATTTTAGAAACTTACACTTTAATTTTGACCTTTGTTTCCTTTTCGATATTTTTTTAGCTAAGTATGAAAGTTTTCAAGCTTCGAGGAATGTTGTGTAGTGGACCGTAAAGTAGAAATAGAGTCAGTTATTAATTAGTCAATGCAAGATTTCATGGTATAGTTGTAGGTGTAAATTTTGTAGGTTTTAGATGATCAATTGCACTCTTTTAGAATATTTGTTTAGCTCTGGACGGTTGACAAGTCATTCTTTTGTTGATATGAATTTAATTATCATTTTTTTTAAGTGTAGTAGATAAGGTTAACAAATGTCCACCACACATGGGGCATGGTGCGATCAATATATGTATTTTTATTTTATTTTTTAGTTTGTAGAAATCTCTCTGTCGTGTGTGATTCTGCATCCAAAAAATTATGAGTCTCATCACTCATCAGGACTAGACAACTAATGATCACAAAAAAATTAATTCAAATTCAGTACACCTGTGATACCAAGTCAACAGTGAGGCATACTATCACCAGTCCAAGGTTTTCGTGTTGCACCCCTTTTTATAGAAAATAAAATAAAATAAATAAAAAAATGTGCAGGAAGTATTGGGTTGTGTTGGATATGCATAAGACATGGATAACATGTAAATATTCATGCCTCAAGACTACAACCAGGCTTCTAATTTACCTTTTTCTGGACCACCTTGACAGCAGTGTAATCCAACCCCTGAGAAGCCAGGAATAAGAATTTGCTAGGACATTACAAAACGTCCTCCAGTTTCTGCTACAATCAAGAGGAAACAGCCTGAATTCAGACTGAATCGATCCCTTCAACCCGCTGACGAGCAAGGTACCTTTCCCTCCTTTCTTTCCATTAATCTATAATTAGTCCTTCTCCAACAATTCATGGACCTGTGTCTTCTGGAGGCTTTTTGCATGCCTCAAGCTCAGCCTCAGCCTCGGCCAATTGACGATTAAGTTTCTCCAGTGCAGGACAAGGACGTTCTGTGTCAAGGAAAACAACTCGCAAAATCTGCTCCTCTGTTACTTGATCTCTTTGCTCATCAAACAGCTCTGGTACATTATCCATTTCTCCTTTCACTCTCAAGCTCATGATCTTGAACTTGACCCTAGTCTTCAGACCTTGTATTTTCTCATCGTTCTCTGGATGCTCCACAAACTTGAATACAGTTGCAATTAGACTTTCACCAGGAGCAAGTATTTCACCAGGAGGACGCATGTAACAACTCTTCGGTGCAGTTGTTTGAAACTTGAAAGCTACATGAGATTTGCTGATGTTTTTGACCCTGATTGCACTCTTGACTTGTTTACCAGGCTCATAGGGAAAGTAGAGTTTGTTGGGGGGATCAAGACTGAGTCGGCGCCGAGTTGGAAGAAAAGACTTTGCCACGGACGAGACCAAAGTCAGAGAATGGACGTCAGGTTGATCCACAAGCTGGTTTTGGTGGTGAACACTCAGGGAAGAAGAAGATGAAGAAGAAGCATCAGCATTGCTGGAGTGCCAAAATGGCATTCTGCAGAGACTCCAAACCTTCCCTTCAGACAGTGATCTCTCACTGGTAACAGCCATTCTCTTTCCGCCGGAATCCGACCCACTTGGCCGGCGACCTTCTACAGGTACCGCCGTGCAGTTATTGGGTGGTTTCTATTATGGAAATCATCCCCACTTTTAAATGTGGGAATGCGAATGATGAATCGTTGTCATGCGTGTGTGTTTGTGTGTCTATTGAGCCATCGCTGTTAGTGTTCGACTTTTCTGGTTGATATGAACGAGGAATATTAAATGAACTTAAAAATTAGAGTTGATAATTTTAATCATTGAATAGATTGTAGGTTCCAATAAATACTGGAACTCACAGTAAAATCAATGGTTAAGATTATCAAATCTAATTTTTAAGTCTATTTTTTAAATACACGTAGTATTGCTCAATATTGATATATCAATATATGTATGAGGTGGTGGTTGGCATTAAAAAAGGATCAGAGTATAGAAAGCAAACATAACAAATTGAAAAAAAAATGCATGCATGTCCACGTGGAGTGTATGCCATGTGAATGGGATTTTTGGTGTCTCAAGCTATAGCAAGTGTAAATGTTAGAATGTAATAAAGAAGAAAGAATTCACAGTTGTCCAAACCATGCCTATTTGGTATGTGAGGTGTAAAATTACCTCTCTATTTGATAATGTAAAATGTGTCGTCTCTATTTGATCATGAGCTTGGAGTGAGTAATATCCAAATGCATCATCTGTGTCATTTCTCTTACTAATGCTCATTTTTTTAATTAGCGATTTTTTTTGTTATATAGTGGTTTTACACACAAACATTTCATCAAAATTGAGTATAATGTTAACCAAATAAAAGGGACAACTTATCAAAATTGAGTACAATCTTTTGGTTATTATGGCTGATATTTTAACTTGGGTGTGTTATGGATACATAAAGTGAATTTTTGAATGAATTTATTTCTTTGTTTGCTCTTTTCTTTTGTTTTTGATTACGCTATTCTTTCAGGTAGCAATTTGTAAGTGGTATAATTTTTCACTTTATAATTGTTATGCAGATATAGAAAAATAGCTTATTTAGGTACTGATGTTAATTTCTTAAGCTTAAAGGTTGGAGTTCTTGAACAACTGAGAGGTATGAGGTCTTGAACTTAGTGATATTTACCAGTTTCTCATTAGTTTGCATTATTTCCTTTAGCTTTTATGGATTTTTATTGGTGTTGCTGTATTGATACGAGTTTCCCAAGTAATTTTGCTTTGTTGGAGTAATACAACTATTAGTTTCATGTATACGTGACACTAATTTTAATCAATGATATTTAGCTAATACTATGTGCTTTGTTTTCAATTTAACGACCAATATTATTTGCTTGGTGCTTAGAAGAAGATGAATTTATTCGTCACTATAATCATGACCATGATCATATTTATTCATCATACTGGGGTGTCCTCTTGCCTATTAGCGTATTGCTTGGCTTTTGTTGGATATTGAATTGGTCTTTGTAAAAACGCCAGTTATTCATTTACTTGGAGTTGATCAAATTTTAATTCTTGGTTAATTCTTGATTTTAAACTTCTCTTGCAATGATATGTAGTGAGGATGGTTGGCTTGGATCCAAACATTGGGCACACATTGCCAAAATTTTTGTATGTAGGTGCACCGACAATGAGCAACCACTGACGACGATGGTAACGAGCAGTAACCAGGATTCTCCAATTGTCCGAAGGTCTGTGAAGTTATAGCCAAAGAGGTCATTAAATGTATGGTGCTAAAATATGTAAATTGTAGCTAAAATATGTAAATTGTGTATGTGTTCAATTTTTTTGAGTTATGTTTTTAGAGGTAATTTTGTCCCTTTTTTTTAATATATTCATCGGTTCAAAATATTTATTGTTATTATTATGTGCTTTGCATTTTTCTTTTGCTAATGTTCATATTTTTTAAATGATTTTTTTCGTTACATAAAGTGCCTTTTAAGCACGAGCAATAACTAGTACTTCGATATAACCCTTTGAAATATAAGTTAGGTGTTCCTAGTGTCATTTATAAATTTAAATACTACAAGAATTATATAAAAATCCGGCATTTAACTTTAACGCCATTAAAACTGGCGTTTGTTTATAAATAATAAAAAAAATTCGCTTAATTTCCGACGTTTAAGTCAAACGACACAAATTCTTAATTAAAAATAATAAAAGGCTTCTTTTTTTCTCCCCCAACATAAACCTAAATTTTTTTCCCAATTCATTCTCTCGACTTCTCTGGCGACGACGCTATTCTTGAGCGACTCCTTGTCGTTGCCCCTCTCTCAGGTGACTCCATGTCATCCCTCTAACAGGCGACTCCTCTTCGACTCTCTCTCATGCGCACCTCTGATCGTTTTCTTTATCTCTGATCGTTTTCTCTGTGAAAGTATCGAAAACTTCAATGTTGTCCTCTAAATTTTGCGTCTGAAATTTTTGTTCCAACATTGTGTGTGTGCGCGATATATATGGACAAAGAAATGGAGGATTTCATTGAAGAATGCTTCAAAGTTTCGAAATTTGATCTGGATTACGAGTATAATTTTGCCCGATTCTTCAATTTTACTCGGCGAGAGACGAATTCTGAGACAGATGAAGTTGAGCGCTGGTTCGAATTCGCCGAAAATTATCCGCATTCGCATAAGTATTTTATAACCAATGAATTTATGTAAACTAGGTTTGATACTAAAAAACATTAACAAATTAATGTTTATATCTTTGCATTATGTTCCTATGTTATGTATCATCATTTGTTGATTGAACCAATATAAGGTCTTGTTTTTTGTCCATTTCCTTGCATGTAAGTTTTTTTGTTGGAGTTGTTAGACTGATTTTTGAAATATTGCGATTTTTGTCATTGATTTGACAAAAAGATTAAGAGCAAAATGGATACTTCCGTTGGATTTGCTCTTCCAAAACAAATTATGTAACTAAGAATTTTTTGGAGTAACGTGGTAATACTGAAATTCGAATTATTGGAAATAGAACCAGATATGTATATGCATCAAGGTTGTTTACTTTTTGTGGATAAGACTGGATAATGTACTATTGGATTATGTTCTTTGTGGTTCTGTTCATTCTGTGGGAATCAGTGTGAGGATGTAAAACACGGGAAAAATTTAAATTTTTTCCAACAAAGGGCAAAATGGTAATTTGACACTATAATACGGAATTAAAATACGCATTCTCTAGAGCTCGTGTGACACAACGGACTTCGCCGTTGGATTCGTGTCGTGTAAACTAGTTATCCTGTCGAATTCTGAAATAGTCAAATTTTTACACGTGGCTCGATGCGACTGGGTGGCGAATAACTTTTTAAATGTCCCCAAAAACAAGTTTTATAAAAAAAATTTATAATTGGATAAAATTTCAAATAAAATTAATTTGAACTTAAATCGGGATGAAATAAATCGTTTCAGGGGTAAAACGGACCCGAATAAGTGAAGGGCGTGTGGCGCAACTCGGGTCAAATCTTCAAAAATATAAATAGGGGTTAAAATGAGATTTTTCTGAATATCTCTACAATTTCAGCCAAAAAAGTGTGAGAGAAAGAGGGAGAGAAAAGGGAGAAAACCAATCTTCCTTCGCCGATTCTCGGAGTTTCGTCGGTCGGAATTCATCGAGTTAAGAGTTAAAGTTCATCTCCTCAACGAGGGCTACGCATATGTACCAAAAAGAACTTATTTCACTAAAGATCCAAAGAGAGAATTTTGGAGAAATCAAAGTTTTGGACTTATGAGGTGTTCTTAAGGCTTCCTACCATTTCTACTACGTTCCAAGAGGTAGGATTCTTCATACTTTGATTTTATTTCTACCTTTTGGGCTGATTTTTGGGGCTGCTATATGGGCTATTTTGGGGCAGTTTTATGGCTGTTTAGGGGCTCTATATAGGCTATTTTGTGGGCTGTATATGGGCTATTTTGTAGGCTGTATGTGGGCTATTTTACGGCTTGTTTTAGGGGCTATTTTGTGGATGGATTTGGGGCTGCTATGTGGTCGATTTAGGGGCTATTTTGTGGCTTATTTTAGGGCTGCTATGTGACCGAATTTGGGGCTATTTTGTGGGCATATTATGTGTTTACTTTATGCCTGGAGAATTAAGTGTGTTATTACTTGATTATATAGTAACAGAGGATTGTGATAGATAAAATGTTGATATATGTGTATTAATATATTGACATTGTAATAAGTTTTGGAGGTTATATGCATATGATATAATTGTCCATGATACATAATGAAATGTGTTGGAAAGAAATGTTAATATGTGCTCATTGAAATATTGACATTGTAATGATTTATAGAATTTATATGCTTATGATATGAATTTTCATGGAACATGTAGACATGTGGTTTAAATTTCTTAATGGGCATTCATTACCTTGGGCATGATGTTGGTAGTGTAATGATTCATTACATTGCATATGTATGGAGAACAAATCGTATTTTATAGGTGTGAGTGCATGGTTGGATCAATCACCATACTTGGTGTTTTGATGGGTGGAGTTGAATATCCTACTAAGTTGCACGGTTGCATACGTGAAAAACTTTTGTCGGGTATAGTAAGAAGGGATAGATCACTCCTCAAGTGCAAGGCCCGACCACTGGTTTATACACTTGCTACGGTGCAAGTCCAAAAAAGTATATCGGTGTGTGAAATCGGCGGTGCAACCCAAAAGTCCACTACCCAAATAAAAACACATGATTTTTAGTTATATAAATGATTCATTTGATGGGAAACATCCAGAAATGAATTGGTTTTATAAACACTTGGTTTTTATCTTCAAATATGATCATTGGATGTATTTTATCAATGACAAGGATTTTTACACTTGCATTGCATAATGTGGAGTGAGCCGGTGAGGGCTTGGGTTGATGTGCGTGAGTGAATCTCATTTCATTCATAGCATGGCATGGTAGATTCTAACATGAACATGTATATTCTTGTTTGGAATGATTGTGTGAATGGTGAATGTTGTATGTGAACATTGCACATGCACTTAGGTAGGGAATAGCCTCTGTAGGACTTACTCTACTGGGCGTGGCTCACCCAATACGAAAAAATATTTAAGGTGCAGGATATACGCCGATGAACTGCTCTCATTCGGGACCATAAGGATGAAGAAAGTCGATGTAAACCCCACCCTTTTATTCTTATATATGTATGTGGGTTTATGTAGCAAGTTATTATTTCTTTTGGAAATGTTAATATGGAAATTCGAGAAAATAATAGTTAAAGCTTAGTTTAGCTTGCAAATATATGAAATCATTGTAATAGCACTTGTACCAACTAGGTTTGATGTACAAAAGCATGTTGAATAAGCATGGGTTGGAATTGGAAAGGTTTGGAATGGATTTGAAATGAAAAATGGAGGTTTTGTAGAAAAACAGATAAAACCTTCCAGAAGGTCGATGAAAAATCTTTTGGAAGGTTAAGGTAAAAGATTTAACCAGTAGGCAAAACCTTTCGGAAGGTCTCTGGAAAAGTTGGCCTAATAGGAAAACCTTCCAGAAGGTTAAGGAAGATGATCGTCCAATAGACAAAACTTTCTGGAAGGTCAATGACAACCTTTCGGAAGGTTAATGAAAATGATTTGTCAAATAGGCAAACCTTCTAAAAGGTCTTCGAAAAATCTGAATTTTTAAGTCGCGAATAGCCGGATTTCCTTTCACTATAAATACTTAAGGAAAACCCCTTTAGCCCCATTTCAACACTTTTAATCCTACAAAACCTGAGAGGAGGAAAGAGA